ACAACAATTGCAATAATCATTGCTTCCATCATGACCTCAATGGGCTACAGAACAACGTACATAAAGGCTTAGTTGTCCAAACAACAAGCAATTGAACATGCATACGAGAACCAAAAGAATTGTTCAATAAATTAACATGAGTAATGTAAGAAACACAAAAGTTTCTTCCCGGTTTCATATACTGACTCAAAACACAGTCAATTACTGATGGAGAGAAGGTATTGCAAAACCAACAACATTTTATAAGACTTTTCTAGACCTTCAAACCATGCATTGATGGATTTCCCCATTGCAAACTGTTGGTGCAATTGTACAAACCTTCCTCCATGGCAAATATAGGGGCATTCTTCTAGTGGTTGTAGCACAAGATGAGCAGAACAACATTCTCCCTATTACTTTTGCAATAATTGAAGGTGAAACAACATAAAATTCTTTTTTTTTCTTAAAACCTTAAGAGACATGTTACACGTTAACAAAACTTGTGCTTAACTTTGGATCGTCACAACTCCATCAATGCAACATTCAATAGACCGAAAAGTAGATGGACTAAAGAATATTGTGTGCACATGTATTGTTTCGACACATTGCACAATATTTCACCCATAGATTTAGGAGTCCATTTCTAAAAAAAGAACTTGTGAAATGGATAAGAACTTCAAATTCTAAAGTATTTTATTCAACTTTATGTCATCTTTCATTATTCTTCATCCAATTTAACAAGTATTATTTTTTTAATTACATTTCTAACATACGCAATAACAGAGCCGTGATGAAACTATTACTACAATATCATAAAGGAATTTGGCCAAATTCCAAGATATCAATTGCACTTGCGTATGATCAAGGTAGAAAATAGGGTCACATCACAACTAATCTGGCTAAATCAATTAATTCAGTCTTGAAGAAAACAAGAAAGTTATCAATCTCCTCCATAGTATTGGCCCCACACACCAAATGCAACAACTTCTTCACAGAAAGAGCAAAGCACATAACTACAATGATAATTGTTGGTCGTGTATATTATGAAAATGCCATCAAGGTCCTAAGAGATGGTTATTCAAAATCAAACACCCATAGGATAATTGAATTTGATAGAAATACGACAAGATTTGAACTAGAGGAGACCCCAAGAGAAATACATTCTACGGGTAAATTTTTAGTCAAGTTGGATGAATTTTGGTATGATTGTGGAAAGTTTCAAAAAATTCATCTATTGTGTTCTCGTGTCTTAGCAGCTTGCAAACATGCTCATCACAACTTCAACATGTACATTAATCCACTATATAAGTTGGATGTTGTCATGCAAGTGTATGATCATATGTTTGGGGAGCTAAGTTATGAATGATATTGGCCATCATACCCAGACCCACAACTTTGGCCAAATTTAGCCACAAGAAGGAGCGCAAAGGATTGGCCCAAATCATCTAAAATCAGGATTTAGATGAACATCAAGGAAGAAAGACACCTAGGAAAATGCTCATATTGTTAAACACCAGGTCACACAAGAAATCATTATCCTCGTAACCCTGACATTAAAGGGTCTACATCTCATCATTAATTGTATTAAACCTTTTTATTATCTTTCATCCATTCAATTGAATTTTTTTCACTTTTACCTTCTGAATTTGAATAGACTTATCTAAATAAATTAATAACAAAATTTGATAAAAATACTTTTCTATTCAAAATTTTAATACCATTATTTTCTAATAAAGAAACACTACTTAATTTTTAATAATTAATTTGTAAAATAATCCAAAACTTTATTTTTTTTCGTAGAAAACTAACAACTATTTTTTACCAACATTTCTTAAGTTTTAATTCTTTAAATTTTTTCAAAAACTGAAAATATGGAAAATGTATAAGTTTATGGTTAAATAATTTCTATGTTTTAACATTTTTATTTCTTTCGTATTCAAATTTTATCAAATATCCTTATACACTTATTTTTTAGTTAAATATGTTTTTGGTTCCTCAATTTTCAATAAAAATTAGAATTAGTTCTTCTTCGAAACTTTGAATTAATTTACTTTTCCATTTTTAGAAATAGGTGCATTTAGTCTTCCATAGCTAGAATTGTGAATTGTATGTATTTAGTCATTTAACCCAATTTTGTTAAGTTTATTTGATGATTCAAACGCGTTTCTCAATTAACATTAAAATGAAAATGTTAATTGAGAAACACATTTAAAATACCAAATAAACTTAACAAAATTTAATTAAAATGATTAAATCCTCATTTTTCTAAAGTTGAATGATAAAATTGAGTCAAAGTTTTAAAAAAAATCATTGTAATTTTCATTTAACCAAAAGCATATTTAACCCTTTATTTTTTTTTCATTCTTTCATATTTCAATTGTTTCTTGTTGAAAGTTTCACATCGACTAGAGATAAGGTGATCACGGTTGATTTACCGTTATCTGTGATGCAATTTTGATACTAAATCAACTCTCTTTGAATGTGAAGCTTGTTTAAACTTTTGTTTTTGCTTGAATTTTGTGAATAAGTTAGTCAAGGTTATACTTAATGATTTTTTTTACTAATTGCCTCAATTTTGTAGGTTATTGGCATGTTTTGGAAGAGGAGCAAAGTATCAAGAAGTTGGAACCCAAAAAGGACAGTAGAAGCACTAGAATAGAAGATTGCAGAAGGCTCAAGGACGCTTGGTTGCCCTTTTTTAGGGCCTTGGGCGCTTGTTGCCACGCAATCACGCCTGGTTGCCCTCTTCAGGGGCCTTCAGCGCTAGTGGTCACGCAAGGACGCTTGCTTGCCCTCTTTTAGGGCGCTCAACAGAGAAGGTCACGCAACCATGCTTGGTTGCCCTTCTCTAGGGCGCTGAGCGCTAGTTACACTCATCGCAGGACGCCTGGTTGCCCTCAACCAGGGCGCTGAGCGCCACTCTTCCCGCAGTTCCTCCTGCTTGCCCTTATTTAGGGCGCTGAGCACTGGCGACGTGGGCCTATGTGATACTTTGGATCTATTTAAGGGTTTTAACACATTAGGGTTCACATAAACACTATTTTCGACCCTTTGGAGGAAGATTGGGCATGCGAGAGCTTTCCTTTTCTCTTTCTAGGGTTTCCATCTCATTTACATTCTTCCATTGTAAGCCAAGGTTCCCCATGACAATGGAGAGCTAAATTCATTTGTTGTTGGAGAAAGATGTAACCTCTGAACTTCATGTATTTAAACATGTTTTATAAATATTTTATGCTTCTTTCATTGAATGTTAGTGATTTTCTCCTATTCTTAATGCTTGTTATGTTTTGGACATTCATAGCTTGATGATTGAATTTCTTTGTTATTGGGAAATACTTAGGAACCATGATCTGGAGGATTTCACCTAAAGGAAATATTATCTAGGGATAGAAATAGGACGTTTAGTTGTTTTAAGCTTCTTTTCTTAATGCGAAATTGGTTATTAAGGTTTTCAAGGGATTGTTGTCTAATAATCAAGGCTAGGCTTTTTATGCCAAGAGATTGGGTTCTAAGTAATTTTGAAAGTGACATTAGCATTCCAATGAAGAAGTTAAGTTCTAATATGCATGAAAGTAAAATAGGTGAAATCTAACCCCAACAACATCATCATCTCAATACCATTCATACATTCTTGTTTTAGCTTCAAAAGATCAATTTTTCATTCAAGTTATTATGTTTACTTTTATTGTATTCAAATTTCATTGAATGGAATCATTCTTTAGTCTTAATTAGTTAAGGTATTATACGATTGTTTAGTGTCACGATTTGGAAAACGATACTTGGTTTTACCATTTTATATTACTTGATACGATTTGGTAAACTTGCCAATGAGTTAACATAAGGTCAATTTATAATATATAAGTGGGTGCAAACCTTACCTTACAAGTCAGTTTTGTGGGGTTGAGTTAGGCTTAAAGTCCACTTCTTAACATGATATCAGAGTTTGATTTAGAGCCTATCCTTGCAATATTAGTTGTTTGTTGGGCATTATTCCACCTGTTATCGGACCGCTATCAGACCACCCATTAAGACCAATTTAAAATATATAAGTGGGTGCAAACCTCACCTTACAAGGCGATTTTGTGTGGTTGAGTTAGGTTTAATTAAAGTCCATTTCTTAACATTTCTTTCATATACTTATACATTTTTCATTTCTTAATTTTTTTATATATTATTGTCTTTAATAATTGAAAATAAAAATTTAATTTAAAAAGTATAATTTAACAAAATATAAACATAAAAATAAAGACTTTTTTAATTGAAAAACATATAATTTTTTATTTTCCCCTTTTTTTAAAATTGAAATGCAAAAAGAAAATCAATAAAATTCAGCTCTCCAATAACCAAATTTTGACTATTTTTCAGCCAGAATATATTACATATAAGGTTCAGAAACCAAATTCTCACCTGAAAGTAAAAGTGCCCTATTGCGATATATATACAGCACACTGTAGCATCTTGAAAATTGAAAAAGCAACTGCTGTGCAGAAAAAAAAGTCTAATAGTATAGGAAAAGTATAGAGATCCAGGAAAAAAATTGCCTTACTTAGATCAAATGATTGAGATATTGGCTAAACAATTTTCTTTTATTCATGGTATAATCAAAAGGAAAATGGTTTATATACGCAGGTATACATCCAAAGAGACAGAATTATAAATTGATAAGGGGATGTGATAGGAGAAGAAATAATAAGAATAAAAGTGTTTAATAGATTAAATACATGTATATGATTATGAAAACCCAAAGAGTATTTTCATCTATCCCTTCAGAATTTTTGCATATTATATAAAATAAATGTCATTTGGAATTCTTTGAATTCACCTACGACTTTTCAAAGATGCATCCTAACTTTCTAATTTAAATGAAAAGATAGTATATTTGACCTGCCCTGTAATTGAGGAAACTCTATCACAGACTTACATACACGTATCATGAAGGTCTATGTGGCTTCTTATAAGATATGGTCAACATGATCACATGGCTACATGGCCTCTTCGAATGGATATCTTGCACAATCCTCTAACCATGCATAAAATTTCAACATAAACAATATGTACATTGTACAACAACTAAAGTTTCTTCAAATTCAGAAGACATTCATGCGCAAATTGAACAACTAACAAGACATGAACAATTTTGTTAACACCTAAACCATCACCACAATGTGAAACCAAACCACCTTTTCTGTGCAACACCATGATCATTCTTGGGCACTCTTCAAAACCAAGCCATCAATGTTCAAAAGACAGTTTTCTTCTTAACCCTATTCAGACAAATATTTCCATACACAAAAGATTGAGTTTCTTTCCTATGTTACATCAACTTACCTACTTTAACTCTTCTACAAGTTCTCTTATCCAACTTTGTCAGGAGTTGAAGAGATAAGTTGATTTTAGTTAAAAGAAACTCAATTCTTTTTGCTTTCTTATTTTTCTTATGGAAAAATTTATCTAAACAAACAATTAAGAAAGAAATTTGTCCAAACATATCTTTAGTTAAAATACATATTGTACATGGTTTTCCATTCTGCAGTCAGCCAGAAAACACTCTCAGACGATTGGTGATCCTCTGACGGCATATTGGACAGTTAGTTAACCTGGATCCACAGTCTCTGCAAGTCTGCATTCCAAAATTGTTAAAAATCATATATAAACTATTTAACAGCAGATGAGAAAGTGACCAAGAATTAATGAGGCTCACCATGTGACCACATCCAAAGGCCAAATCCTTTCTACTTGTCAGACAAATGGCACATGCCTACAGAGGAAAAAAAAATGTATCATTGTGCTACTATCTAACACAACAAATAAATTGTCTTTAAGCATTTTATGGGCTTCCTTTCAGGTCTGTTACTACTAATGGACAAAGAAAATTACTGAAGAGATAACACTAATTGTTAGGAAGTTACGTGTATATGAGAGGAGAAAGAGAAGTAAGTAGAAGTTAGTTAGCCTAACTGCAATAACAGTTAGGAAAGGCGGGAAGTGAGTATAAGAGAGGGAATAATTGATTAGAGAGAGGGGGGTTGTTTTGGTGAGTGATACAGGAAGCGTGAAGCCTGTAGGGGGAGGTTAAGCTCTCTAACTGTATCCCGAATTTGGATTCGTGCTTGTGAATAATACAACGAGAGTTATACAGTAATTTCGGATGTGTTGTGTGTGCGTTTATCTTAGGTTCTTGAATTAGGAACCTAACACTAATGAAATGAATGAAACCCATATATAAAGAATTGATACCACTTTTAATTCAAAATCCTAAGACAATGATTTTATAGGTCTTCGTCCTTATATAATGTTTAACTTTTTCACCTTTATCCAATATAAAACTTAGACTTACACTTGGATTCCCAATCGCTATATCTACATACATTCATACATACATATATGTATATATACACATATATAAGGCATAAATTACAGTTTGTAACCTTTTTTCAGCCTACCCACAAAAGTTTTTGTCACAAGCATAAAATAAAAATTGTGGCTATAACATGTGATCCCTTCAACTCAAAATTTAGAGGTTTAGTGACACAAAGGTTTAGATAAGTTGAAAAAGTGTTAACTACAGGGGAGTAACCAAAACATATTACTTTGTTTAATAGTTTGACAAACTAGAAAGTGATAAAAGAGAATATAATGAATCTTCTAGGTTTCAATCTTATGTGTACCATTTGATTTCTCTCATCATCCATGGAAGTTGGCATATTGCTGAGAACACGAGCTGGTGGCACAAGCCTAGAATAAGGAGCTGGAGGAGGTCTCGGAACAATTTTATTTGACCTTCCTGTTACTCGACTTTGTCCAAAAAAAAAAACAGAGAGAACAAAAAAAAAAACAATAAATATCCATAAAACAGACATTGTAACAAATAGTCACCTGAAAGAAAACCACTTTGCTTCTGAGAAATCTGTCTCCAAAATGGACCAAAATATGCTGCAAATGTTTTCACTTTTCATGTAATGAAAGTATATAAGGGACCAACCCTAGTAGTCCTAGTTCAATGGCTGCTTTATATTGGAAAGGTATCTCCATTAGAGCAGCCAGAGCAAAAGCAGCTTCTTTTTCAGAGGAGCTTGATTTCTTAGACATTATGTCAGTGAAGTTAACAAACTGCAATAAAAGGGAGATTATTTTACTATTACAAACAAAGAAATTGCTGCCATTCACAATTTCGTGTTGATTCCATACCTGAAAATTGTCAAAGTCGCGAACCGGAATCTTGTCATCGAACTTCTTCATGTCATCCCAAGGTCCATCACCAACTCCGACCAGAATAATAGACAGGGGATATGAACTGACATCAGAAAAAAGTAGAAAATAGAAATTTATGGAATTGGTCAAGTAAAACACTAGGAAGATTCCTATGAATAGGCTACAAGCAATTAACATAACAAATTTGATTACACATTCAATCTAAAAGTTTAAGGTATAAAGTTCTCAGATCCTTCAGAAATATATGTTGCTGAACATCCATGTTGTCAACAAAATACTTCTCTTATATTGGAAAGAAGATGATAATAGTTCTTGTAGATGAGGCTAACTTCCATTTTTCTATGACTTTTTGAATTTGCTTTTAGAGATATTTCTTCTGTTACATGTACCTTGCATCAGCTATTGCTTTGATAGTTCTTGCTTCTTGTGGACTTAGTTCTCCATCGTCACCGCTTGTCGTAACCTTCAATATTTGAACAATATCAAATAAAGATAGGAATAGTATAACATGCTTACAAATACAATTAATATTAGTTACCTGGCCATCTGCAACAATAACTAACACATGGAATTGGCCATGACTTTGCTCAACTATGTCTATTGCAGCCTCAATCACTGGAGCGTAAGAAGTTGGTCCTTCAAACAAAAACATAGATATTTCTTCAGCCATGGCTATAGCCTTAAGATTACCAGTGTTATGTTTTATATTAGTAACTAATGATGATTCCATTCGATGATTTGTCCATAACATGAGCATTCTTGCTTTGTCAACACAAACACAATTCTTCTCCGCAATTCATTACATTAAACTATGAATCATCATTGCTTTAGGTTCCACTTCTCCTAATTAAAATGTACCACGTTTAAACTTGATGTCTTATGCTTCGGAATAGCCGCAACAAACTCACTTCAAAAGCATCTACCAACACAACCACTAATTCATTAAAAGAGATGAGACCGCAAACATAAACCTTAGAAGATAGACGAAGGAAAAATCACTCAAAAAATAACATGGTTTGATTGAAATGTAAATGAATTTCAACATACGTTTACGACAGAATTCGCCATACACAAATATTAGTATTACATGAAGTTAGTTATTAACTTTCGTTACATGTTCCTGTATATAGCATAGTTATCATAACTAATTTTTGTTAAATGTGCCTAAAAAAGCAGAGAAGTAACGTGAACAAAGTTTTCTACTTCTGAGTGAAAGGTCACATGGTTGCAAAAGTTTCAATAGATGCTAAAGCGCTTGATGCATATCTCCTAGTAGATGCTATAAAAGAAGGTAGACTATCTAAGCACCTGAACAAGATATTACAGAACCAATCTTCACGAATCCCCACCTTGGTTCAACATAAAACCTGAGTGAGACTCACCTGTCTTCTCTTACGAAGTGCAATTTGATATCAACATGTTTCGTTTTATCACGGTAGACTTGGTTTTTGGATAACTGTATTACATTGTTCTTTGCACAATAGACAGTGACTACCATGTCTTGCACCTTCAGTTCTCTACTATACTCCATAGGAAGAAAGACTTCTTTCACGCTTCTATCATGACAACATACTCTGTTTTAGAGGTTGACAAAGCCACTACCTTTTATAGATTGGACTTCCATCTAATCGAAGTACCATACGCAATAAACACATAACCTTCTATTGGAGCCTTTCTGGCATATTGTCTAGCTCCACCATAAATTAAAACTCTTCCAAACGACCCCTTCAAACATAAGAGGATCCACTTAGGATCATGTTAGTTAGCTCGTTCATGCCTTGGCGTGCACCTGCAATAACACTCACAGCATAGGTCATGTCAGGTCAAGTGCAATCATTGCATACACCATAGAACCAACAACATTTGCATATGGAATATCATTCATATAACTTGATTCCTCCAACATCTTAGAAGATTGTTCATTACTCAACTTATAAAGTGACACAAGAGGCGTGGAAACAAGCTGAATTTGTCATCCCAAACTTGTCAAGGATTTTTTTTAGGTAGGTCTCCTGAAATTTCAAACCACTTCGTTTAATGATCTCAATTCCGAAAATCTTTGCAGTAGCTCCAAGATCCTACATATCGAACATATTTATAGTGCTTTACTTTCTCATTTCTATCTAAAATGGGACTTAGACTCACTTGAATTTCTAACAGGCTCATCTCCTAACATCTCACATGCAGCTACTAAGGAATATGCAATAAACTTTGCAAATCCATACCTTTTCCAAGTTCTAATCGTTCACCTTGTTCTATATCCGGCAATACTATATCCATTAACACGTCTATCTTCATTAAAAGCTCATTGTTTGTCTTCTTCCAAATCATCTAAATCTTCACTTTGTAAGAAACCAAATGCTTTATCTTTGTCAGGCCCCAAGTTTTCCCTCTCACCATTACAACGACACTCACTTCCATATTTTAAAACCCTTGGCTTATGATCCATCTATGTTTCATTGAAGACAACGTCACAACTGATGATATACTTCTTAACCAAAATTCTTCATTAAAGTGTCGTTGGGGGACATTTATTAACTAGATAGGCAACCGTCGATGTAGCTCCAGCCCAAAATACCTTTAAAACTCCAACACTTAGAACTGTACATCTCACTCGGTCCAGTATAATCCTATTGAATCTCTCGGCTAAACCATTTTGTTGAGTATCAACTACCATTTGATCATTAATATGCTTGACACCATGAGGACCTTTGATGATTTGTAATCGTCTCCAAGTATAGTTATTTCACTTGACATAGACAGTCTATCAAAACTAGACAGTCTACCAGATCCAAATGATCTATCAGAGTTGTTAGTTTTCTTCTGTCTCCCAGAACAGAACCTTCTGGTAGAACCTTCCTTTTTGCGATAGAAACATTTGATATATGATGTGCCTCTACCATTGTGTGACCTTGACTTCGGATCTCCTTCTATCTCATCTATCATCACTTGTAGATATTCTTCCCTTTAATAGAAGGTCGTCTCTAACACTAGACACCTTAACATCAAATTTATCGTTACTCTATCGAACTCAAGTTTCTGAATTTCCTCAAGAGAGAGAGTATCTCTTCCATGCAACAAGATTTCCTAGAAATGATCAAGTGTCTCGGGCAACAAACACAACACCAACAATGCCTAATCCTCACCATCAATATTCTTCGGATAAGAATCAACTTATTGAATTCATCCAATTGTTTGCTAATTTCCTTTTCACTACTCATCTTATATAAGTGCAACGTTTACTTCAAATATAAATAATTTACCAAAAACTTCATAAGTACAAACTCTCAAGCTTTGTCCATAGTCATATTGCAGTCTTCTACTTCGAGACTTACCTCAACACTTTGTCATCGAGACCAAGAACAATCACATTGTGAGCCTGCTCCAATAACATTTTCTTGTCCTTTTTGTGTCATCGCTATGTAAAGTTTAGATTCACCTTTTAGAGCTTCCAGGAGACCTTGCCAAATAAAAAGAACATGCATCTTACACTATCACAATCTGAAATCACTCAAACCAGTTAATCTTTAAACCTCAAACTTTTTGAAAGTCATAATGATTGAAATCCACATTCACCACACCAATGGAATAACCTGAATAAATTCACTACAAAAGCATCTACCAACACAAACACTAATTCGATAACATAGATGATATTGCAAACATAAATGTAGAAGATAGACAATGAAGAATAAGAAAAAATCACAGAAAAAAAAAATGTGGTTCAATAGAAGTGACAAACTTTAATCTACATCCATAACAAAATTCATTATGCTGATAGATTACAACTTAAATTTAGTTATTCATTGTCGTTACAGGTTCCTATATATAACAATATAACTCCTGTAACTAACTTCTGTGAAATGCACTAAACAAGCACAAAAGTTATGCGAACAGCGTTTCACGCTTTAGACTCGGTAGATGTTAAAGCAGTAGACACTTTACTCTCTACATCATTGAAAGAAGCATTTCTTATACCAAATGCTCTAGAAAAAAGTTAGACGGACTAGGAACCTAAACAAGATTATACTAAACCAATCTTCATATATTATTATGCTCTTTCCAAAATGTAACAGACTCTCGTTGGACAACCACAAACATCTAATCTCACAATCAAGATGTTCATTCCTCAACATGATGGAATGTATTGAAGATTCCACATCAAGATAAGACGAAATTATAAACAGATTTTGATGTTGAATTGCATATAGACTTGTTTACTAATATGGTATCGCAGCCATATCAAAAATATTATCCTAACAAGATTCGTGGGGCTTGTTGGACCACCCACGAATATTTAATTTCACGTTCAATACTCCTTCCTCAATGTGAGAGTGCATCGAAGAACCCACGTACAGAGATAAAGCCAAATCAAAATATATAAATGGGATGTAAACCTCGGCATTATTCTTTCGAGGATGTGTCATTTTTTTACACAAGGAAATAGTTGTAACTTTCTAGTGACAATAATAAAAAATGATGAGAGAAGTAATTTTCATAGTTTTCTGAAATGTACCATTAATTTCATTGAGATAAATTTTGATTCCATTGTCAAACAATTAAATAGCCTGGAAATCTACTACAGTAAAAAATTGCAAGACTATGGATTGTGACCAGATAACTTATTGACTTCTAAATGTATTTCAACACTTAGCGTCTGAAATATATTTCAACAGGTATAACAGTCTTTAATCAGCAAGTAGTAAATTACTTACTTCATATTGAGGTAAGTGGTTGAAATAAGAACGCAATAAGCTGAGATGAAAATCACCTGAAAGTCTTAAGTTTGGAACAACTTTGTGATAACAAGCCAAAACTTCCTCAAATCCATGGCAAGATGAATGATCACTGTGAAAGCTAAACACTTCTTGATCATGAGTGGTGGCTGTTTAGATACAGAAGTTGAACCATTTTCATATTGGAAAACTAAATTTCTTCTATACATGTTCAGCAATAAGGATTAGGCCTTACCATCACCAAAGCCAAAACAAGGAATCAAGTTGTCATCATCAAACGGAGCCAGAGTCTTGCCAATGATAGAGATGGCTTTCTCATACGGGTTAGGTGTACTTCCAATAGCATGTAGGCTTTTATTGTTGAATGAGATACTTCCTTCAATAACAANGAATGCGATGCTTCAGGAGGGGGAATAGGAGCTGTACTCACTCAAGGCAAGAAACCCATTGCGTTTTTTAGCAAAGCACTATCCGAGACTTCCATGAACAAATCGGTATACGAAAAAGAGTTAATGGCGTTGGTGTTGGCTATCCAACATTGGAGACCTTATCTACTAGGGAGGAAGTTTGTGGTGCATACTGATCAACGCAGTCTAAAGTATCTGTTGGAGCAAAGGATTACTACATAAAGCCAACAAAACTGGATAGCCAAGTTGATGGGCTATGAGTTCGAAATCATGTATAAGAAGGGAAGTTCCAATACGGTGGCTGATGCCTTATCAAGGAAGGAAGCAGGAGAAATGGAGGAGCCAGAGTTACGGGTAATGTCCAGGTCCTACTGGCAGGATTTTCAGGAGGTATTAAGGGAGGTGGAAGAAGATGAGACGTTAAAAAGGGTAATAGCTGACATTCAAAGGGATCCCGACTGCCATGCAGCGTATACTCTAGAAAATGACCGACTGCACTACAAGGGGAGGCTTGTAATATCCGAAACATCGACCTGGATTCCCAAACTTTTGGCTGAGTTTCACGTAACGAATACCGGAGGACATTCTGGGGTATTTAGAACATATAGAAGGATAGCCCAGTCGCTTTATTGGAAGGGAATGAAGAAAGCTGTCACCGATTTTGTGGCAGGGTGCGTAATTTGTCAGCAGCACAAGTATATGGCAGCTTCCCCACAAGGGTTGTTGCAACCTCTACCGATACCGCAAGCAATATGGGAGGAGATCACCATGGATTTTATTGTTAAGCTACCTAAATCACACGGTTATGATGCTATATTGGTTGTGGTGGATAGGCTGAGCAAATACGCACACTTTATGGCACTTAGACATCCTTATTCGGCTAAAACGGTGGCGGAAGTGTTTATCCGAGAGGTTGTCAGGTTACATGGTGTTCCTGTCTCAATTGTGAGTGATCGAGATCCTTTGTTCTTGAGTACGTTTTGGAGGGAGCTTTTTAGAATGCAGGGGACACAGCTCAATATGAGTACTGCTTACCACCCGGCTACGGATGGACAGACTGAGGTAATTAATCGGATTTTGGAGGGATATCTGAGATGTTTTTGCACAGAGCAGCCCAAGAACTGGCATGCAGTGTTACCATGGGCTGAGTACTGGTACAACACCAGCTACCAAGGAGCTGCGAGATGCACGCCGTTTGAAACGGTCTATGGAAGAGCTCCTCCGTCGTTGAACAGATTTGTGCCGGGGGAGTCAGTGGTAGAGGCAGTCGCACAAGATCTTATGACAAGGGACGAGGCTTTGAGGCAACTGAAATTTCACCTAAGTCGTGCTCAAGATTTAATGGTGAACCAAGCGAATAGGAAGAGAAGAGATGTGGACATTAAAGTGGGAGACTGGGTCTATCTTAAAATTAGACCCCATAAACAAGCATCTATACCAATTCGTTTACATCCTAAACTGGCAGCTCGATACTTTGGTCCTTTCCAGGTGCTCCAGCAAGTGGGCCCAGTGGCATTCAGACTACAGCTGCCAGAAAATGCACGTATACATGCAGTCTTTCATGTGTCACAACTTAAGAAAGCGGTGGGACAAAAGAAGGTTGAGAAAGACCTACCAGCTGAGCTACAAGCAGAGGGGCCTACATATTGGCCAGTGGGAGTGTTGGGGACGAGACAACGAGAGCAAGGGAATGAGAAAATACAACAGATCCTGGTTCAGTGGCAGGAGGGGGGCAGCGAAGGAGCTACGTGGGAAGACGTGTTGACTATCCAAGATCAGTATCCTGATTTTAAGTTCAACCTTGAGGACAAGGTTGCTGAAGAAGGGGAGGGTAATGTTAGGAAGTTACGTGTATATGAGAGGAGAAAGAGAAGTAAGTAGAAGTTAGTTAGCCTAACTGCAATAACAGTTAGGAAAGGCGGGAAGTGAGTATAAGAGAGGGAATAATTGATTAGAGAGAGGGGGGTTGTTTTGGTGAGTGATACAGGAAGCGTGAAGCCTGTAGGGGGAGGTTAAGCTCTCTAACTGTATCCCGAATTTGGATTCGTGCTTGTGAATAATACAACGAGAGTTATACAGTAATTTCGGATGTGTTGTGTGTGCGTTTATCTTAGGTTCTTGAATTAGGAACCTAACACTAATGAAATGAATGAAACCCATATATAAAGAATTGATACCACTTTTAATTCAAAATCCTAAGACAATGATTTTATAGGTCTTCGTCCTTATATAATGTTTAACTTTTTCACCTTTATCCAATATAAAACTTAGACTTACACTTGGATTCCCAATCGCTATATCTACATACATTCATACATACATATATGTATATATACACATATATAAGGCATAAATTACAGTTTGTAACCTTTTTTCAGCCTACCCACAAAAGTTTTTGTCACAAGCATAAAATAAAAATTGTGGCTATAACATGTGATCCCTTCAACTCAAAATTTAGAGGTTTAGTGACACAAAGGTTTAGATAAGTTGAAAAAGTGTTAACTACAGGGGAGTAACCAAAACATATTACTTTGTTTAATAGTTTGACAAACTAGAAAGTGATAAAAGAGAATATAATGAATCTTCTAGGTTTCAATCTTATGTGTACCATTTGATTTCTCTCATCATCCATGGAAGTTGGCATATTGCTGAGAACACGAGCTGGTGGCACAAGCCTAGAATAAGGAGCTGGAGGAGGTCTCGGAACAATTTTATTTGACCTTCCTGTTACTCGACTTTGTCCAAAAAAAAAAACAGAGAGAACAAAAAAAAAAACAATAAATATCCATAAAACAGACATTGTAACAAATAGTCACCTGAAAGAAAACCACTTTGCTTCTGAGAAATCTGTCTCCAAAATGGACCAAAATATGCTGCAAATGTTTTCACTTTTCATGTAATGAAAGTATATAAGGGACCAACCCTAGTAGTCCTAGTTCAATGGCTGCTTTATATTGGAAAGGTATCTCCATTAGAGCAGCCAGAGCAAAAGCAGCTTCTTTTTCAGAGGAGCTTGATTTCTTAGACATTATGTCAGTGAAGTTAACAAACTGCAATAAAAGGGAGATTATTTTACTATTACAAACAAAGAAATTGCTGCCATTCACAATTTCGTGTTGATTCCATACCTGAAAATTGTCAAAGTCGCGAACCGGAATCTTGTCATCGAACTTCTTCATGTCATCCCAAGGTCCATCACCAACTCCGACCAGAATAATAGACAGGGGATATGAACTGACATCAGAAAAAAGTAGAAAATAGAAATTTATGGAATTGGTCAAGTAAAACACTAGGAAGATTCCTATGAATAGGCTACAAGCAATTAACATAACAAATTTGATTACACATTCAATCTAAAAGTTTAAGGTATAAAGTTCTCAGATCCTTCAGAAATATATGTTGCTGAACATCCATGTTGTCAACAAAATACTTCTCTTATATTGGAAAGAAGATGATAATAGTTCTTGTAGATGAGGCTAACTTCCATTTTTCTATGACTTTTTGAATTTGCTTTTAGAGATATTTCTTCTGTTACATGTACCTTGCATCAGCTATTGCTTTGATAGTTCTTGCTTCTTGTGGACTTAGTTCTCCATCGTCACCGCTTGTCGTAACCTTCAATATTTGAACAATATCAAATAAAGATAGGAATAGTATAACATGCTTACAAATACAATTAATATTAGTTACCTGGCCATCTGCAACAATAACTAACACATGGAATTGGCCATGACTTTGCTCAACTATGTCTATTGCAGCCTCAATCACTGGAGCGTAAGAAGTTGGTCCTTCAAACAAAAACATAGATATTTCTTCAGCCATGGCTATAGCCTTAAGATTACCAGTGTTATGTTTTATATTAGTAACTAATGATGATTCCATTCGATGATTTGTCCATAACATGAGCATTCTTGCTTTGTCAACACAAACACAATTCTTCTCCGCAATTCATTACATTAAACTATGAATCATCATTGCTTTAGGTTCCACTTCTCCTAATTAAAATGTACCACGTTTAAACTTGATGTCTTATGCTTCGGAATAGCCGCAACAAACTCACTTCAAAAGCATCTACCAACACAACCACTAATTCATTAAAAGAGATGAGACCGCAAACATAAACCTTAGAAGATAGACGAAGGAAAAATCACTCAAAAAATAACATGGTTTGATTGAAATGTAAATGAATTTCAACATACGTTTACGACAGAATTCGCCATACACAAATATTAGTATTACATGAAGTTAGTTATTAACTTTCGTTACATGTTCCTGTATATAGCATAGTTATCATAACTAATTTTTGTTAAATGTGCCTAAAAAAGCAGAGAAGTAACGTGAACAAAGTTTTCTACTTCTGAGTGAAAGGTCACATGGTTGCAAAAGTTTCAATAGATGCTAAAGCGCTTGATGCATATCTCCTAGTAGATGCTATAAAAGAAGGTAGACTATCTAAGCACCTGAACAAGATATTACAGAACCAATCTTCACGAATCCCCACCTTGGTTCAACATAAAACCTGAGTGAGACTCACCTGTCTTCTCTTACGAAGTGCAATTTGATATCAACATGTTTCGTTTTATCACGGTAGACTTGGTTTTTGGATAACTGTATTACATTGTTCTTTGCACAATAGACAGTGACTACCATGTCTTGCACCTTCAGTTCTCTACTATACTCCATAGGAAGAAAGACTTCTTTCACGCTTCTATCATGACAACATACTCTGTTTTAGAGGTTGACAAAGCCACTACCTTTTATAGATTGGACTTCCATCTAATCGAAGTACCATACGCAATAAACACATAACCTTCTATTGGAGCCTTTCTGGCATATTGTCTAGCTCCACCATAAATTAAAACTCTTCCAAACGACCCCTTCAAACATAAGAGGATCCACTTAGGATCATGTTAGTTAGCTCGTTCATGCCTTGGCGTGCACCTGCAATAACACTCACAGCATAGGTCATGTCAGGTCAAGTGCAATCATTGCATACACCATAGAACCAACAACATTTGCATATGGAATATCATTCATATAACTTGATTCCTCCAACATCTTAGAAGATTGTTCATTACTCAACTTATAAAGTGACACAAGAGGCGTGGAAACAAGCTGAATTTGTCATCCCAAACTTGTCAAGGATTTTTTTTAGGTAGGTCTCCTGAAATTTCAAACCACTTCGTTTAATGATCTCAATTCCGAAAATCTTTGCAGTAGCTCCAAGATCCTACATATCGAACATATTTATAGTGCTTTACTTTCTCATTTCTATCTAAAATGGGACTTAGACTCACTTGAATTTCTAACAGGCTCATCTCCTAACATCTCACATGCAGCTACTAAGGAATATGCAATAAACTTTGCAAATCCATACCTTTTCCAAGTTCTAATCGTTCACCTTGTTCTATATCCGGCAATACTATATCCATTAACACGTCTATCTTCATTAAAAGCTCATTGTTTGTCTTCTTCCAAATCATCTAAATCTTCACTTTGTAAGAAACCAAATGCTTTATCTTTGTCAGGCCCCAAGTTTTCCCTCTCACCATTACAACGACACTCACTTCCATATTTTAAAACCCTTGGCTTATGATCCATCTATGTTTCATTGAAGACAACGTCACAACTGATGATATACTTCTTAACCAAAATTCTTCATTAAAGTGTCGTTGGGGGACATTTATTAACTAGATAGGCAACCGTCGATGTAGCTCCAGCCCAAAATACCTTTAAAACTCCAACACTTAGAACTGTACATCTCACTCGGTCCAGTATAATCCTATTGAATCTCTCGGCTAAACCATTTTGTTGAGTATCAACTACCATTTGATCATTAATATGCTTGACACCATGAGGACCTTTGATGATTTGTAATCGTCTCCAAGTATAGTTATTTCACTTGACATAGACAGTCTATCAAAACTAGACAGTCTACCAGATCCAAATGATCTATCAGAGTTGTTAGTTTTCTTCTGTCTCCCAGAACAGAACCTTCTGGTAGAACCTTCCTTTTTGCGATAGAAACATTTGATATATGATGTGCCTCTACCATTGTGTGACCTTGACTTCGGATCTCCTTCTATCTCATCTATCATCACTTGTAGATATTCTTCCCTTTAATAGAAGGTCGTCTCTAACACTAGACACCTTAACATCAAATTTATCGTTACTCTATCGAACTCAAGTTTCTGAATTTCCTCAAGAGAGAGAGTATCTCTTCCATGCAACAAGATTTCCTAGAAATGATCAAGTGTCTCGGGCAACAAACACAACACCAACAATGCCTAATCCTCACCATCAATATTCTTCGGATAAGAATCAACTTATTGAATTCATCCAATTGTTTGCTAATTTCCTTTTCACTACTCATCTTATATAAGTGCAACGTTTACTTCAAATATAAATAATTTACCAAAAACTTCATAAGTACAAACTCTCAAGCTTTGTCCATAGTCATATTGCAGTCTTCTACTTCGAGACTTACCTCAACACTTTGTCATCGAGACCAAGAACAATCACATTGTGAGCCTGCTCCAATAACATTTTCTTGTCCTTTTTGTGTCATCGCTATGTAAAGTTTAGATTCACCTTTTAGAGCTTCCAGGAGACCTTGCCAAATAAAAAGAACATGCATCTTACACTATCACAATCTGAAATCACTCAAACCAGTTAATCTTTAAACCTCAAACTTTTTGAAAGTCATAATGATTGAAATCCACATTCACCACACCAATGGAATAACCTGAATAAATTCACTACAAAAGCATCTACCAACACAAACACTAATTCGATAACATAGATGATATTGCAAACATAAATGTAGAAGATAGACAATGAAGAATAAGAAAAAATCACAGAAAAAAAAAATGTGGTTCAATAGAAGTGACAAACTTTAATCTACATCCATAACAAAATTCATTATGCTGATAGATTACAACTTAAATTTAGTTATTCATTGTCGTTACAGGTTCCTATATATAACAATATAACTCCTGTAACTAACTTCTGTGAAATGCACTAAACAAGCACAAAAGTTATGCGAACAGCGTTTCACGCTTTAGACTCGGTAGATGTTAAAGCAGTAGACACTTTACTCTCTACATCATTGAAAGAAGCATTTCTTATACCAAATGCTCTAGAAAAAAGTTAGACGGACTAGGAACCTAAACAAGATTATACTAAACCAATCTTCATATATTATTATGCTCTTTCCAAAATGTAACAGACTCTCGTTGGACAACCACAAACATCTAATCTCACAATCAAGATGTTCATTCCTCAACATGATGGAATGTATTGAAGATTCCACATCAAGATAAGACGAAATTATAAACAGATTTTGATGTTGAATTGCATATAGACTTGTTTACTAATATGGTATCGCAGCCATATCAAAAATATTATCCTAACAAGATTCGTGGGGCTTGTTGGACCACCCACGAATATTTAATTTCACGTTCAATACTCCTTCCTCAATGTGAGAGTGCATCGAAGAACCCACGTACAGAGATAAAGCCAAATCAAAATATATAAATGGGATGTAAACCTCGGCATTATTCTTTCGAGGATGTGTCATTTTTTTACACAAGGAAATAGTTGTAACTTTCTAGTGACAATAATAAAAAATGATGAGAGAAGTAATTTTCATAGTTTTCTGAAATGTACCATTAATTTCATTGAGATAAATTTTGATTCCATTGTCAAACAATTAAATAGCCTGGAAATCTACTACAGTAAAAAATTGCAAGACTATGGATTGTGACCAGATAACTTATTGACTTCTAAATGTATTTCAACACTTAGCGTCTGAAATATATTTCAACAGGTATAACAGTCTTTAATCAGCAAGTAGTAAATTACTTACTTCATATTGAGGTAAGTGGTTGAAATAAGAACGCAATAAGCTGAGATGAAAATCACCTGAAAGTCTTAAGTTTGGAACAACTTTGTGATAACAAGCCAAAACTTCCTCAAATCCATGGCAAGATGAATGATCACTGTGAAAGCTAAACACTTCTTGATCATGAGTGGTGGCTGTTTAGATACAGAAGTTGAACCATTTTCATATTGGAAAACTAAATTTCTTCTATACATGTTCAGCAATAAGGATTAGGCCTTACCATCACCAAAGCCAAAACAAGGAATCAAGTTGTCATCATCAAACGGAGCCAGAGTCTTGCCAATGATAGAGATGGCTTTCTCATACGGGTTAGGTGTACTTCCAATAGCATGTAGGCTTTTATTGTTGAATGAGATACTTCCTTCAATAACAACATGAATGCATTGGCTTTGTAGGCAAACAGTCAAAAAGCAATCATTCCAAAAGGAAATAATAACCAAATTCAATGTAAAACAGAAACCATACATTTTCATGCCAGTTTTAGTTTTCAATTATGTCTTCATTTCATCTTAAACGGTATAAAATTTCTAAGTTGATTTTTGTTTATATTCTACTTACCAGTCCATTCATTACTTTTCGTAAAATCAATTCCAAGAACAAGATTTGATGATTCTAAACCTTCGTTCCTCAAGGCAGTTGTAACCTACATATATAATGAACCGTGTGAGATTGGTTCAGTAAATATGCATTATAAATTAAATATGATAAAAAATCAAATAAAATCATACATAGTTTCGGTCAATAAATATAATAATTTAAAAACTTGTCAAAATAGTTATTTTCTTTTTTTCTTAAACTTTACAAAATAATAATGTTTAATCCTTTTCGACATCCCTATTTATGTACGAATGTGCTCCTCGTTTTTTAAAATGTATCAAAATGGTCCTTAATTTTGAAAATTGATATCAATTGAGTCCTTTCCGTTAAGTTGGCTGGACGGCGTTAAAAAAATTGATGAGTGGATGCTGAGATGACGAACGAACGCTCGTCCACCAGCGAACGAACGCTCGTCCACCAGCGAACGCTCGTCCACTAGAGAACGAACGCTCGTCGACCTCTTACTGCTGGACGACCGTTCGTTCCACACTGGAATACCGTTCGTTCGGTGGTCGACGAGCGTTCGTTCGCTGATGGACGAGCGTTCGTTCGCTGGTGGACGAGCATTCGTTCGTCATCTCAGCATCCACTCATCAATTTTTTTAACGCCGTCCAGCCAACTTAACGGAAAGGACTCAATTGATATCAATTTTCAAAATTAAGAACCATTTTGATACACTATAAAAAAACGAGGACCCAATTGAGACATTCGTACATAAATAGGGATGTCGAAAAGGATTAAACCAAATAATAAAGACAAAGACAACCAAGGTAATGCACCTTCCACTAAGTCAGAAGTGGTCCCATTTAAAAAAGACTATAAAGTCTCGCATCTAACCACGTGAGTCACCACCAAATATAACTATTCACATTAAATAATACCTATCAAATTTAAGTCAATTTTAAGTAATTGATAGATATGTTTATTGAAAAAAAGTTAATATTAACATGTAATTAATTTTAAAAATAATTTTTTATCTTTTATTTTTTATTTTCTAAATTTATATTTAATCATATATTAATATTCATTTTTCTTTATTAAACATATACGAGAATTATTTAACATTGAATACACATTTAATTATATTAATTTAAATAAATTTAAGAAAATTAGAATTAATTTTTAAACATTAAATACTCATTTTTATCATTTGTCCTTCCTACAACATTAAATACTCAATGACCTTTTTTTTATTTGAATTTAATGGAAACATACATTGAAGATAACTACAGCACTTTTTTTCCTTTTTTATTTGCACGTATCAGTGATGTAATCTGAATAAATACATCATGTAGTTATTTTTTAAATATTAGTTCCTCCCTTAAGTTTTCCATGATTCATTAAAAAATACTTTAGATAATAACGGAAAAAATATTTACCAATAATTTATTTTAGCTAAAATTTTAGTTCTTATCATCCCAAGCAAACAACATTTATGGAAATCGTAATTTGAAGTTGTATTTCATTTTATAGCTCCAAAAGTAGTTTTCACTTTTCAGTCCATTATGGGTAGTGAAATTTGTAGTTCTTTCTTGGTTTAATCATTCACTAAGTCCCTATTTTCGCATGGAATCTCAATTTCGTCCCTTTCTTTCTGAAAATATCAACTGGGTCCCAATTTTATGAAAATTGCAACAAATCGATCCTTTCCGTTAAATTGGCTGGACGGCGTTAAAAAAATTGATGAGTGGATGCTGTGATGACGAACGAACGCTCGTCCACCAGCGAACGAACGTTCGTTCGCTGGTGAACGAGCGTTCGTTCGCTGGTGGACGAGCGTTCGTTCGTCATCTCACATCCACTCATAAATTTTTTTAACGCTGTTTGACACTATTTAACGGAAAGGATCGATTTGTTGCAATTTTCATAAAATTGGGACCCAATTGATATTTTCAGAAAGAAAGGGACGAAATTGAGATTTCATGCGAAAATAGGAACTTAGTGAATGATTAAACCTTCTTTTTTTTTTTTCATGTTATGGTTTTCAACACTACTTTGCCAGTGCACAGGTTATCATTATTTTTTTACTTTCCAATGATGAAAACGCGTTTCTCCACCTCTCAAACATATTCTAGCTAGTGGATATTGAGATTGGATTACCTTTCGAATACGTCTGGGAAAAAATCGGTATCCAAATCCAGATAATTATCATTGTATTCGAATATCAGAATATAATTTGTATGAATATTTACTCAATTTAAATTTATATTTTAATATCAATAAATTTGTAAATATGCTATAAATTTGATTTTTCATACGATATTATTTTATTAAAATTTAATAATAAATTATATAAAATTATTATTCATTTTAATAATTATTATTAAAATTATACATATCTTTTTTAGAGAAATTAATTATTTTTTTTTATGACACTTACTTGTGATAAAAATTACTATTTTAATAAAATATTTAATTTAATATAAATTTACAATTTAAAAAATCTAACCGAACAAACTCACAATACAAATAAATTAAATCTAATTAATCTAATAAATTAAATAGATAAATATAAATTTTAAAATATTAAATTTAGATTATATTGTTGGATTCAAATCCAAACCAACCAGACTTAATAAAGCTATTTTAATAGTAGAATAAAACTTAGATATAGTTTATAGTTTTTTTCTTAGTTTATTAAAATTAGAATTTTAGTTCTTATCCAATTAAAAAATATTTTTAATTTTAGAAAAATTATAAATCTATAAAATAAAATTTTAAAAAGTGACTATTAATATTATTGTCATCAATAACGCTGCTACGTAATTTAAAAACAAAATATTCTATAAAAAATTACTGATAAAAAAATACTGATCATAAGATCAAATATTCACAAATATTATACTTTTAAAGAAGAGCTGTCAACAGATCACTCGGCCCAGTTTAATAGTCACTCAGTGATTCATTTGTTATGGAATTCAAAAAAATTCAAATTAATTTGACTCATTACAAATTACTGGTTAAATAGATTAATTTATTTGATTTTTTAATTTAAAAAATTATAAATATATTTTAATTAAAATTTAATTTAAATATAATTTTAAATGATATTAAATAAAAAAGTACAATATAATCTAAACATATTTAAAAATTAGAAAATATTTAAATTTTTATTTTTTTTAATATAATTTAATATTTAAAATTTATGAATTAATTTATAAACTAATCCGATTTAGCACTAATTCAATTTAGATCAACTGAATTTTTAGTAAATTAAATTTATTTTTAGTCCTATTTTTAATATGTATTCTTTTTCAATCCAATCCGAGTGATACACGTTATCCTTATCCATTTTAATTCATTTGGACTCTTTTTAAAGTAATATAAAAGCCATGATCAACTCACATTAAATACTAGGTACACCTCCATTTATAATGAAAGAGACAGAACTACAATGAAAGATGGGGCCATAAAGAAGGATTTTTTATGCAATAAAAAAAGTTTACAAAGTAATTTAAAATTTATTTGCAATAGAATTATTTTTTTAAAATTGATTTCAATTAAAATTAATTTGAAACTTAAAGGATTTATGTTTGAGTTGAGTGTTCAAATTTTCAGAAAATAGTAAAAATAAATTATTTTATCTAAATTAATTTCTAAATGCGCATGCCTTTGCAAATTTCTTAAACTATACTACATTTCTCATTTTATGAATTAATATTGCTTTAGGTCACTTCACGTGAGCATTTAAAATAATTAATGCTTAAAAATTATACAAAGTGGTAGATAATAACTATGTATAGCTTTTTAAATCATATGACAAGGATATTAATATTCTTTAAGATGGTGGTTTAAAAAAAATCCTTCATAAACCGGGGCCCGAAATTATATTCTTTTAAATTAAACAAAAGTCATTTTGTTTGAGAATAACAAATGGGTTAAATCATAAATGCATGGTTGTACTGATTTATTTATAAATAATTAAATTATTTTAAATTTTTAAAAGGTTAAATGAAAACAAGAATATATTTTAATTTTTAAATTACTCATTAAAAAGATAATTTCTAAATTAGAAAATTAAAAATTATACTTTTAAAATGCTGAATATTTTTTTCTTTAATATTACTAAGAAAAACAATGGACCAACCTGCCAAACTTTCTTTTTAGCTTAAAAAATATATTATCCTCAAAACATGCGTTTCGACCTTAATTAGCTTTTGCCTAACTTTTCTTCATTTGTAGGATGCTTTTTTTTCCTTATTTTCAATTTTATGTATAAAATAAAATAAATAAATTGATTATTTTTCAAGAAAATTGAAGATCACACATTTTATATGACACTTTCTATTATTATGTTTTATTTAAAAATTTTAATTTATTTATTTATATACATACGTAAATATATATATACATATATATATATATATATATATATATATATATATATAATCTACTTTATTTTCAGTTTTTAAAAAATAACTTTATTTATTTTAATTGTAATAAAACTTACATTTTAAAAAATAACTTTATTTATTATTAAATAGTAATTTAAGAAATACTATCGATTAACATTTCTGATAATAAAAAATATACAAAAAATCGTAATTTATAAAAGAATAAACAATATAAAATAGATTTTGTGTCTAATAACTAAAAGCATGTTTAAAATTCTTGATTACAGACTAGTTTAAATTTACTAACCTAATGTGAAAAAACTAATTCACTTTGAATAACTTTTTATTTTAAATTTACTTTTTAGTTGATAGTTTTAAATCAAAGCTTAAATTAATTTGGAAATTCTTTTACCTCAAAATAAATTCAGAAAATAATAGGGCAGGGAAGAGAAAAAGAAAAGAAAATAGAAATCAAGAAAAGAAATTATATATTGAGAGGTATATCACAAAATCTATGACACATTTGGATTCAATTCTTTTATATATATATATATATATATATATATATATATATATATATATATATAACGATAAAGTGTTATTTAGTTTTAAAAAAATAGTCCACTACTAATAATAATATTTAAATTTACTATTTAAAGCGTAATAAGAGGAGAACGGATCTAGATTTTGACCCAAAAATATCTGTTATGATAATATCCACTTCAGGGCAAACTTTTCTTCTTCAGCCAACGCCCAAATTTGATTTGAGTTGACAAAATAAAATTAGAATTTTTTGTTTGAAAAGATATTTATGAAATATAAATTAAAAACTTTCAAAAACTTAGTTTTGTTTTGCAATTAATCAACAAGATTTCGAACAAATAGCATAATTTGAAACTATTAACTGAAAGAAGAAGAAGAAGAGTATGTAAAGGCAAAGAACCTGTTCAAGCGTAGTGAAGTTATCAGGAATCAGAGCGTATTTCTCTTTCGCAGATAGTTTTCCAGAACCATGATGTTGCACCGGGGGTGGCTCTCGCGGTGGTTTTCTTGATGATTCCGGCGATGACGACGGTCGTGGTTGTGGTGACAAGTTTCTGGTTACGGTGGGAGAGGGAATGTGACGCTTTTTGGCTTGCGAGTTTCCCATGGAAGCTTGAACTAGGGATTCAACAATCAATTTGAATACATATGCAACAATGAATAGAGTAAGAAATAATTGTAAGCTAAATAATAAAATAAAATAAGTGTAAAGAAAGACTTGGTGGGTGGAGGGAGACTATCAAATATTATGGATACATGTGTGGATTTTTTTTTTAAATGTCTTTGTCAATTTTATCTGGTACCTTTTAAACTTTAAGGGTATCTTCTCATAGGGATGAATTTGAGCAAGAGAAAATAAATTAATTTGAGAATAAATAAGTGTTGTTTATTTTTAAGGAATTTAGAAGTGAGTGAAATTAAATTTGAAAATAAAATTTGTAAAAGTTAAGTAGGATTTGACCCATGTGATAAAAAAAGGATATTTTAATGGATAAAAAAATTAATTTGTTTTTGGTAGTAAAAGTAATATAAAATTATATTTTAAAATTATGTATTTTTTTGATAAAATTCATTAAAAATGGTATAAAAGTAAATAAATAATTAATACAAGAATCTTTATTATGGAATAAAAGATATCTACTTAGCAAATAAATAAAGTACGAGTGTTAGATCAAGAAAATTGGGAATAAATTATAATTTATTTTATGTTTACAAATAGAAATAATTTTTAAATTATTTTATGTGTAGAAATGTGTGATAGATGCATTTTAGTAAATTATAGGGGTTTGTATTAGGCAATGAAACTATAATCAAGTAAATCGAAAATCATGATTGATCAAATCATAATAAGCTTTAAGTGAAAGAATTAAACCCTAACAATCAATGAAAGAAGCTTATAATCATTAAGGACAGTTGCATTTACATAAGAGATTCGTGGTTACATCAATCTCCCAATAAAAATAGAGTTAGCTCTCCATTGTCATAGAGAGTTCAAGCTTATAATGGAAGAAAATGGAAGAGGTGGAGACTCAAGAAAGAAGAAGGAAGAACTCTCACAAATCTAAGCTAGCCTCCAAGTGCTCTAAGAAGGTTTTGGGTATTTTTATTTTTTTAATAAACAAAGAAATGCAAAACTTTAGTTTTTTATGCAAACCAAAATGCAGGTGACAAAGGGGATACATGCATAAAAGGGTGGTTTTGAAAAGAGAAAAAAAAGGATTTGGTAATAGAAGATAAAAACAAATTTTGAAATTCTATCACGAAGGATTTGGGGGATTTGTTGTAGATAAACGTGGTATATTGTTAGGGTTATATTAGAGGAAGCAAAGAGGAAAAAAAGAAGAAAGAAGAAGAGAAATGAGAGGAACCGTGAGGGAGTTTTGGGAGAAAGAGAGAGTTTGGAAATCTTTGTACCAAGGACATCAACTTGGACTTAGAAGAAGAGGTTAGGGGAGAGGTTTTGGCTTAGATAAGAGGTAAGGGGAGTTAACAATTTACATGTATGATTGGTTTGTTTATGTGCAATCTATTGTTTGTTCCACTTTTGGTAAATGTTGTGAAGTTGTGGTGGTTGTTCACATGCATGTCAAGATAGATTATAACCTAACATATAGTGGTTCCATGTAGCGTTATATACTGTGTTGTATGTGTGGTTACAAAGCAGCTTCATATAGTTTTCATATGTAGCTTAGGGTTGTATAGTTCTAAGTGATGTTTTAATCGTATTTAATGCTACACCATTGTTAGGACTTCGACAAGTGTACCAAATCGTTCAAGTAATAAAATGGTAAGATCAGATATCGTTTCCCAAGAAACTCGTGCAACACCAAACAATCGTTTCCAACTAATATAGACTAAAGAATGATTCCATTAAGTGAGATTTAGGTGCAATTACAATAAACATAATGCTTCAATAGTAAAATGAACTTTTGTACCTAAAACACTTAGAAATGGAAAGATTAGAAATGATATGAATTGGTATTATTGGTATATGATTTCACCTACTTCACTCTTATGCAAGTACAAAATACGTCTTCTTCATTAATATGCTAATGTTAATCTACTAACTTACTCAAATCCAATCCCTTGGTAGAGAGAGTCTAGACTTACTTATTAAACTTCAATCCCTTGGAGAACCTAACAAGTTCATTCGCTTTAAGAATTGAGATTTAAGACAACCAAAGGTCCAAGTTCTATTCTTAGAAACAATTTCCTTTAGGTGTTTAATCTAGTTCTAGATTCACACAATATTTTTCAATATCAAGCAAACCAAAAATCATGCTATGGTTGATCAAATCATATCAAGATTTAAGTGAATGAATTAAACACTAACAATCAAACAAAGAAGCTTATAATAATTAAGAACAGTTGCATTTACATAAGAGATTCAGGGTTACATCAATCCCCCATCAAAAATGAAGTTAGCTATCGATTGTCATAAAGAGCTCAAGCTTACAATGGAAGAAAATGGAAGAGGTGGATGTAGAAAGTAGTAGGCCAAGTTTCTCAACCAAGAGGGGGGTGAATTGTTTTTGATTTATAAAAATTGTTCTTTTAAAACTCTTTTCAAAATCTTTGAACCTTTCTTGGAATGAAAGCAAATAAAGAAAGAAAGGAAATGTAAAAGTGAAAGGGTAGAAAGATCAACACCACAATTTATACTGGTTCGACCTCAACTACCTACATTCAGTTTTCTTTCAATTAACCTGAGATTGGAAGGATTCCATTATGTAGATTGAGTTCTATATCAAGAAATACAGTGAAACTCTCTCAATGTACTCTCCTCTCTAACTCCAAATCTACTATAATATACACCCAGAAAGAACAATCATCTTTTTGTCAACCCCTTTTAGATACCACATTGAAAGTAACCAGAACTTCACATGTTCTCTTCCTGGCCTCAACAATAGGGAACCACAATCACAACAGATTGCAAATGATTATGATCTTCCAGAAGAACAACATAATGTGCAGATTGATCAAACTTTGAAAGCAGAACAACTCTTCAAGAATTCTTGATTTGATTTCTTTCCAAATGAAATTCTTCTTGATTTTTGGAAAACAGATGCTCCTACCATTAAGAACTCAACAAACTTTATCAGATATGAAAGTTATGATTCAAAAAGTTGTTTAATGCAAAGACCTATGCGTCTATTTATAGATATAACAACACTAACGCAAATTAATCGATTACATTATTAATGTAATCACTTTAGCAATTAATACTTCCTTAACAAAATTACATTTAACAGATTAATCATTGCATGTAATCGATTATGTAATTAATGTAAGTCATAACATTTAAAAATATGACCGTTATGACTTATCAAAAAACAAGTTTCCAAAGCATACATGTTTTAACCAATTAAGAAAAGAGTTTAATCGGTTAAGCAAATTTGAAAACTTTTTCATTTAAAACTCATCAATGCACTTAGTAATGAAGTATAAGCAAAGACACAAGTTTTAATCGATTATCCACATAATGTAATCGGTTAAAACTAGCAGTTTGCCACAATTAATCATGTATTGATATCAGATGAATTCATACAAATTTTATAAACTGTTTAAACAATTTATTCATCCAGATATACAGGGTGCAAAGAGTTTTATGAATCTTAACCAATGAATATGCATATCATAGATATAATTACATATATAATCACAATGAATATGCATAACATATAGTTCAAGCACAATCAAATATATAAGCAGCAACTTTGCTTAATGTGTGCAAGAAACTATTAAAACATTTATGTTGTTATCTTCATCCAAAACGCATATGGGATATATGGGTTTAGCTTTAACATAGCTCCCCTATCAACAATCTCTCCAATTTTTTATGATGCACAACTAGAAATTGTTTTCCAGTTACTTCTCCCCTTTGGGCATTAGCAAAAAAGAGCAATACCAGTAACACGAAAACAAAGTGCATATAAGAGATACATCAAGAAGTTCTTACAGACCATTTCAAGAATGTGATGTTCCCCCTATCATATTGCAGTAGCACTTTTAAACATTTTGAGTAATAAATTGATACCAGAATCAGAGCTCAAAAGATCATATGAACACAATCTAACAGTATAATCAATGTATCAGAGTATGAATATCATAGTGTATACTGAGTTTAGGATAATCTATCAAGTAGTAACAAATTTAAGAACTTGTATCAGAGTAAAACAATGCTTGATGCGATTATGCTATCAAGTGTAATTTTCAAAATGCTCAATATTATTATGCAGGATATATGAAGCAAGGAGTATAATGAATGCATGATATCAATTTAAACAGTATGTATGATACCAGTAGCAAAATGAATTATATCAGAGTAAATGATTTTGCAACATAAGGTACAATGTTAAAAAATGATGCATATGTAATAGTTTTCAAAATAGTTATGAATCATAATGCAACATATTGAATCCACTAAATGTTTAAGATAAATAAAGAACTGTTATAACATGTTTAGTAGATATGAATCAGTAGAAATGAGTATAAAACCATGTGCTCGACTTTTAATCGATTTCATTGAGAAGATAACTGATTAACTCTGTTGAACAACTTTCATGTTTATGATCAAACTGCACAGTTATGAACATTTAAACCTGTCAAGATCGGTAATAAACCTGCAAACCACAAATTTCTCAACATTGTTGAGTGTTAGTCGAGTAATACAAAGTAGTTGTGGTGCTATTTGAAATATCAAATAAGTATGAAAAGGCAATGAAGTATATGACAGTGAAATAACATATTGCATTCATACATCAAATTCATTCAACCGGATTCAACTAATCAAGGATATGAAAATGAACGTAAGCGTAATATTTCATTCAACTCAGAAAATATCAAAGTAATAGAGTTTAAACGATTAAGGCCTTATGGCCAAAAATTACATTTAACCAAAAAGTATAAACCAAAAAGAAAATCAAATTAGATCACTGTTGAGAGGGTCGCACCTCACACAAAAGTTGATTGCAAAGTTAATGCAGTATAAACTAGGAAGTAACTCCTAGGTCGTCTCTCAAGGACCAATTGTGGTTCAGGTAATAGGTCGAACACATTAGAGGGGGGTTTGTGAAAGGTTTGTGAATGCAATTGAACTAAAAAAAATGAAAATTAAACACAACCGAATATAAATAAAAGCATTAAAATGGAAACTACAACAGATAAATATCAAAACACAATTCAAGCTGTAAAAATGCAACAGTTACACTAAAACATTAAATGCACA